GCGATATTGGATGACAAAGCTAGAGGGGCCCTGCCGTGTTGAGAATGGTTAAAAATAGTTTCGACATGAAGAAGTCAGTTATGTAGTCTGTCGCAGCTAATGAACGACGTGGATGAAAATATGTAGGCGATATGAATCAGCCTAGCCGCAACCGGCTTGTGTTTACCTTTCTCTCTGAATATCTCTCTGTGAAACATGCTTTCGACGGAATAAATGATTCAGATGTCGTCTATAACGTCTCCAGCACCGTCCCGTGTTGCTTGTGCTTTCGTTTGTTGACAGAGTCTGAAAATGACACCAGAGAGGCGTAGTACTTGTTTTAAAAGTTTAGCTAAGGCCGACGGCTGGAAGACAGTTTTGTTTAACTAACAGGCGTATATGTAATCTCGATGTGCGTAACGGCAATTTGAACACGTTTGCAAAATGAAGGTAAAAGCAGTTTGTGAGAATACCTTCAGTCTTCGAGATAGCTAAGAATGCCTGATTCCTTTACTAGAAGTTCCAGGAAATTCGCTGTTTTGAACGTCTAGCCACATGTAGGTTTTATCCATTGATTCTCAATGCCCACTAATCTTTTCGGGTCGTCGGGGGGTTATCTGCTTCAGGAAGCTTTCCAGTTGTCCCTGTGATTCTCCAAACAAAGAAACTCAGTGAATGGGCTTCCATTGGGCGACAATTCCAAGGCTTTTATAATTGAGTCATCTGGGCTGCTGTCTGTCTCAGAGTCATCTTGCGTCTGGCTTTGACAAGAGAGCACGCTTTTAAGTGTCTTCTGTAGCTTTACACGCCCACACCATCGTAACTGTGATTTGATATGAAGAACGAGCTTCTAATTAAGGGGCGGGTTTCATAAGTAATTGCTTTGCTTCTTCTGTCGGCGAATTGAAGAAAAACATCTACTATTTCTGGGCTGTGTTGGTCTTTAGTTCTACGTTCTTGTGCCTTCTTTAGTCCTGGACATCAGTCTGATTCATCGGGCAAAGTATATGAAGAATAGAATAAACGGGGCTTCTACAACCATTTAGAAGTCGACACGTTTCTTTTGTATTTCCAGTGTTGCCATACTGGTACACGGTGGCGGGGTACCAATTTTCGTTTTGATTCCCTCCAACAGGAATACGTTGTTTATGAAGGCGACAACTTCACTTACAGGTGTCTTATACAACGTACAGCGTTGCGTTGCCTTCCTGAAAATTAAGTTTTATATAATAAGCTCGCTAAAGGTGAGTCGCACGACTTTGTATTCACAGTGTCGATGTAAGAAACACTAGGCAGCGTTCAGTGTAGAAAACTTTGCATGATTCATCAAACACGCTCTACTCATATGTGCGGAAATTGCTTACAGAAAAGATGAACCGAACGAAGTCATACAATGAAGTTTCCTGGTAAAGATTCCGCTAACGCTCTCGATACTGCTGCTGCAGTTCTCTGTTTCTTATCAATTATGTAAGAGTTTTGCCAAATATGTGAATTACCAGCGATCAGCCTTCTGTATCACTCACAAGGCCCTGTATTCAATTCACACCTGCTATTTTCGACCGTCGATCTCTAGAGGTCGCGACGGTTAGAAAGGCGGCGTGTAGAACGGTTGACAGCCAGTGCTTTTCAACGGCATCTGTTCGCTCTTGTTTGCCAGCAGCTGACAGGAGCGCTCGCGGACAGCAGGTCGATCGGGTCCAATCGTCTTCGAGATATTGATTTCCCTCGGTTCCGCGTGCCCCCCCCCCTTCTCCACAATTTCAATGAGCGAAAACACGTTCATCTTTCTGTCAGTGCGGTAACGAGTGGCCATCGATGGAAATGCGGCGAAAATTCGATAAAGAATGCCCTCCTACCTTCATAATGACTCCAATGTCGTCATGAAGGTGACGATCGGCTGCGCCGCCTGAATTTTTCCTTCTTCGCCATGACGACGATGAAGCAGTTGGTGCTACCAAAAGTACGTTCGGTCTTTCCATGTTTTTCGTCTTTTCAGGTGCGGTAGTCAAGTGGTGAAAGGTCGGTTTCGAACTCCAGAGGTATCAGTCACGAGTTTCAAGAATCCACAAAACTTTTCATAGTCGTTCATTCGCCGTTCCTTGCTTTATTGCCACAACCAACGCTTAGCTTAATCGTTAACGTGCGAACAATGAGAATGGTATGGTGTTCTGGTGTGATCTTACTGCAGTTAGCGAAAGGCACGTCCGTGCTGTGTGACAGGGTAGGTAGATAGCAGCCCTCTTAATGGAGCGTTCATTTAACGCCGTGAGGTTGGTTGATACAGGCGAGATCTGAAACTGCTGTCTGGTTTATTATCGAAGTTGTCCGTTCTAGATTTTGACCTTCGCAGGTCTAAACAGAGGGCAAGTGCGACATTTGTGACCTTATTACTGGCAAGAGTCATTCTCGTATTGTCATGGGACCATCATACGGTTATATCTGGCTATGATATGGGCGTCTCTGGTCCGGCTCTGGTAGCAGTAACCGCTGTTGCCATAGATGGCCTCGTATCTGAGGATCGTACCCCTTCTGCAACCATCAAATGGCCGTCAGCTGAACTTATTGGAGATAAATTACCTCCTGTTAAGGTTACTATACCCATTGAACCACCCTGATGGTGTGATAATTGGCGCAGAATTTGTTGTCGATGTTGTCATCGTTTGCATAAAATATTTTAAGAATGCTGCCTCTACCATCGCAACCAAATTAATTGATGCTGTCACTTGGGATATCAGAAACGATTTATTCTCATTTCTGAGTTGCGCGGCAAATCCTTTCGTGCATTCATCAACGCCTTTAGTAGTTATTGTCAGTTCTGTGGCCGAGAATGTGTCGTTATCAAATCACTCTGAATAAATCGATTTTTCTAGGCATTAATTAGACGAGGAAGCTCAGAAGTTTTGACATTGTGTCTCCGACCTGGAGGCAATTAGTTACGCACAAAATAAAATCGTATTATTCTTCTTTGCTGTACTCAGTGCTGAGTGTCAACAGCTAATTTAAGATTCATGACCCGAAACAGCTATGTCAATTTCATTGCCTTTCTCCATCAGCAGTGTTCTGCGAATCGAAAATGTTCTTTCGAGATCATTCATTTGCCAACGCAATTTCTGGATTCACCCGTAACTTGGTACATAGCGCAAAATCTCGTGTTTGGCTGAAAAGTCGGCAGTCTCAATAAAGAATTTACTATTTTCCGTTTCGCTGTGTCTCGAAACAGTGAACTGACAATTTACGAAAAAGACTTATGGATCCTCCTTGATTCTGTTAATTTTTTCGAATAAGCAAGTTAAAGGCCTCCCAGCTACCACTGAAACTAAACGAGCTCTTATATTCCTTACACAGTAGGATTTTGCTAGCCAACACGTGTAGTGATTCTTTAATTAATAGCTCGTATTGACATATTTAGATGTATGATTCGTATACTATATTCATTCTTTACACTGTCTCTAAATTTTCTTGCATCTGTATCGCATAGTCTGACTTTAGTCTTAAAGGTGCACAATAGTCATCTTGAAACAGTACTTCGGTTTTAGGCAAAACATGTTGGCAAAATTTAATCGAAATCATGGAAATCAGATGGGCCAGTTCCAAATATAGCCATTACAGGTGCTCGTATCGCACAGCATGGCAGTGCATCTTGCCCATTCTGTCATACGAGCATGACGGACCAGAATATCACTCTGTCCCTATTATTCGCGAGCCAGCGATTTGATACCCGTTTTTCGGCTGGTTACGCCGAAACAAAGTCTGTCCACTTCCTTACCAAAGGAAATTCGCGGTATAGAGAAAGATCTTCCGCAGAGCAGAAGCCTTCTGATATTTTCTTGTCGTATAACGTTTTGAGGGAGAGTCACAAGACAAGGTCTAAATCAGCGAGTCATTGCAGGTCAAATTCAGACGCATTGTGTGCCCCTTCTGTGCCATCACTCCATTCTTTTCTCAGATGTTTATTACAAATGAACGTAGTTGTGCTCCTTTAACATCTTTAGCCCGACTAATCCCTAACATTTCCGGATAGCGTTCCTCTTGAATATGTAATATATGACTACTGAAGAGCTGTTAAGTTTTCAGGTTATATGTTTTAAATGTTTTTTTAGTTTGTAGAGTATGCTTTCACGCATTAAGAGAAGAAGGAGGGAAATTGACCATTTTTGCAAACCATGCAACACATCTAATTTGCCATCCATGATACCTTGCGGCTTTCATGGTTGTAGGAATCAAGCAGGCTTACTTTTTTGGCAAGATCGGTGACAAGCTGCAGACGAATAGCAGGTAGAACGGCCCTATTGAACATCTGGCGTTCTCGGCCCGTAGAACTTTAGTAATTGGATCGAAACCATAACAAAGTGCAACCGAGGTGCTAAAAGCGAAAGATCACTACTGTTTTAGCTATAAATATATTTTTTCCTCTTGATCACTGTTCATCATTCCTCGAGATAGGAAATTTTCTTACTGAAGGCAGCATTCACTGGGAAGTTAATTTACACCGAACTTTAAGTACCTGATTCTTTGGCTTGTTCTGGTCTATGGCTTGTCGTCCTTCCATAACTTCCATTCCTCTGCCATGATAGGTAAGCAAATCACCTGGCGAAAATTTCGTAATATTTCTGATTCCTTTAGCAATACATCGTGTCTGAGGTTTGCATACGTCCCAATTGACAGTTCTTTCGCTAGCTTGTTTTCTGGAAGATGTCTAGCCATTTTTTGTGAGAACCACAACGGTCCTTCTTCGTTAAGTATCTGTCCCGTGCGCTACAGTCACACGGAAGGGTACTTTCTTGGCGGCACTGCGAGACAACGCTTTTCTAGCATGGTCGATTTTGGCCTATCCGAAACATTATAATATTAGTAACATTACGGTTATTTTGAAGACACTTCAGCACATATGTCCTAGAAATCAAATTGCTTTGCATTAAACAGTTACCATTTGCTTACCTTCAAGAGTTATATTGTTTGAGGCGTGGAAATAATTTGTTTT